TTGAGATTGTCAAAATACTAGATGGAGATAGATATCTGTTAAAGTCCTTAACAAGTAAGTGAACTTACAAATACTCCCATGAATTCTTAAGAGCTTTGCCGAATAATGATCTAATACGCGAAGATAGGGACGGCACGATGGAAGATGCGTCTGACAATCAAGAAAGAGAACCATAAAAAAAAAAAAGAAAGTGTTAAAGGAACTACACTAAAGATTATTGTAATGTGTTAAAGGAACTACACAAATGTTAGAAAGTGTTAAAGGAACTACACTAAAGATTATTGTAATGTGTTAAAGGAACTACACAAATGTTAAAAGTGTTAAAGGAACTACACTAAAGTTATTGTAATGTGTTAAGGGAACTACACAAATGTTAAAAAGTGTTAAAGGAACTACACTAATGTTATATTGTAAGATGTGTTACAGGAATTACATAATTGTTAAAATGTGTCAAAGGAAATGCACGAATGTTTTATTTTACAAAAGAGAATAATGTTATAAAGGAATAACTAAATTAATTAATAAGATTATGTTTAAAGAAATGTAATGAATACAGAAGATTTGATATTTATATAAGTGATTTTTATATTGAAAGCTAAACACACGAGGACGTGTGATAGGTCAGGAAGGCCGTGTCGTAGTGCGATTCCCAGTTAATGTAGCATTCTGGTAATTTGGGAATTCGGGGAATTCGGGAATTCGGGAATTCCCTGCTTCTGCTTCACTCGTTGATGTTGAGCAAATGCACGGCAGCAGGGGCAGAGACGCTCTGCTGCTGAGTGAGGTCCGATGGTAAGATACCAAGAGTCTTGAGTAAGACAGAGATGGCTGCATACGCTCAACTTGAGTGAGTTTATGTCGTGAGCACTTATGCTGAGTTAGTTGAACTTGGGTATTCGAACCGATCGGAACTCACTGTGTAACTGCAAGAATCTATAACAGTGTCAGCATGAATAACATACCCTTGCCGCCGACCGACATACCCCCGCCCCCCGACATATACATATATATTTTTATTTTAGTTTTTATTTAATTCATCTTCTTAATGTTAAAGAATGTAATTTTCAAAATAATACATAAATATTTTTTAATAACAATTATTGTTGTTTGTGTTTTTAATATATTTTAAATTTTGGCCAAGTTATTAGCTTGGCATATATTTTTTTTTAAGCATTTGTTGTACAGTTTATAAAGTTTGTAGAAACAATTAGCGCACATTTTTACAACAATAAATATTAACAATATATTTATTAATTACAGATCGATATTGTTCGGTTCTACTTTATTTATCACGTTAACAGTGGACAGTGGATGTCTTAACGTCTACTAATCCCATTTTGGGTGTACTACTTATAAAAATTTTGATGGTTTCTCTTAAATTTTGTTTTGTATTTTCAAAATTTTCATCATATTTACTTATATTATTATTCATAGAAAGTGAACTTAAATTTGCTTTCAATTAGTCAAAAAATTTTGTTCATTATTTGGTTACATGTATTTTCCTACTTAATGTTTGTGTAGCTTTACAGGCTGCACTCTAATTTGGCAGATCCTCGACTATAAGATACCCGTTACTGTTTTACACAATTTTAAAATATTAATTTTGCTAGTGGAAATTCACAAGGCGCCACCTATTGTCAGAGGAAGCATGTTAAGTAACTGATAGTGACGTCACTGCCAATGTGTGGCCTTATAATCCAAATTTCTTCATAAATATTAACAGAAATAAGTTATACAAGGTCAAACGAAGGCATTCATAATAATATTTTAGACGCGTAAGAGTGGGTGTCGCGAAATGAAAACTCGTGGCAAGTTAAAGTGGCATATCTTAAGTACGTATTCTTAAGCACAACTTTGTAGCTTTTATAGTTTCCGAGATTTTTGTATTTTTGGTTTTCCGGGTTTTGTGGGCGTTCGGGTAAGCGTGGCTAGATGGGAAAAAATTAATTTGCATTTGAAGCATCATAAAAACCTACATGCCTAATCCGAACTTTCTATCTTTTATAGTTACCGAGATATCAGGTTTTCTAGAAAATGCGAAAACCGTCTGTTGAGCCTTGTGGGCGTATAGTATTACTACTATAAGAAGCGCTGGCATCTAAAAATTATACATTCTGAAATTCAACTTTCTAAGTCTAATAGTTCCTGTGAATTCAGCGATTTTAGTTTTTTGCGATTTGTGGGCGTGGCAGGATGGTGTAATAAACTTGCGCTGCGTAGGGACCTCAAGAATCTACGTGGTTAATCTCAACCCTGTATCTCTTATAGTTCCTGAGATCTCGCAATAGTTTAATTTTTAAGTTATCATCAAGACATCCTCTTAATATTTTTTGTTGTTTTTTGTTGTATTAGCTTTGCACGTAAAGTGGGGTCTACCTCTTTGGACACGGGCACCTGATGTTGATTCCTTTAACCAAATGGTCGCTGCATAAACTACTACTACTACTTGTAAGCCTTGTCTTGCCCAGACTTAACATAATACGCAAATGGCTCGCGGAACATTAAAATTTTTAGTGAATCAATTTAATATTATGCACGCCGCAGTTTTTTCGCGGGTTGTATTCGTTAGAGTGGGCGTGGTCAGATGAAAACTCACGCCCAGGTGCAGTGGCATATCGAAAATAAGTATTCCTAAGCCAAACTTTCTTTCATTCATTTCTTTCATATTTGGTTTTCAGCGATTTTTCGGCGTTAGAGTATTACGCCTTGGGGCGTCATTAGCTTAATCCCAACTTTTTATCACTTATATTTAACGAGATATCAGCCTTTCAACAAAATGTGAAGATCGCCTTTCCAGATTGGGAGGCGTAAGAGAGGGTGTGGCCGGATAGTGGTTTCACCTTAAGATGCGCTGGCATCTCAAAATTATACATACTTTATCTCAACTTTCTATCTCTATTAGTTACTGAGATTTTAGCGATTTCAGTTTTTCGTGATTTATGGGCATTAGAGTGGGCGTGGCAGGACGCTGAAATAAGAAGAAGAATCTGTCTGTGTTAAGTTTACTGCTTGTCCCAGTGTGCTGGAAGCTGGGAGCTGGAAGCTGGGACTACGCATGGGATCGCGAGAACGAAAGCGGGAAGAGGGCAACGTGCTCGTCGGATCTAATGCGGGACGCCATTTACATATGTGATATATAATTAAATGCTTGAATATTCGTAAGTTCAAAAAAAAATTATTTTATTTTTATTAAACCGAATTATTACAATATTCTTTGATTGAGAACACCGACTCGAACAATCTCGTGTCTTGAACTGAACTTCACTGGGTGTTGAGTTTTACAGTAGTTTTTAGATTTATAAACTTTACTTTTGTGTACCGATTATAATTATGCTTAAACGCGTACCGATGATAACTGATTTCGAGCGTTAAATGTCTTAAACTGATTTTATCTTAAGTCTTAATTTTTTATGAAGCCTTGGTTTTGCGCTTTTACAATTATTATGTTCTCTGAGAGAACTTTCTTATATCTAAGCTTTATTCTCTTGTATTCAAGTTCGATACTCTTGAATGCAAGATTTCTCTTTTCAGTTGTCAGTAACAGGACTCCTACTCTCTTGTTTTTCAGTCGCAGTGTGGGACAGATAAGTCTGCGATCTGTCTGTGTTTATAAAGGTCTGGGTATTTTCCATGGTCGATTAAGTTTACATAATGGTATCTATATTTTGCTTATGACTAAAGTGGAGGTGTGTGGAACTTGAATTTTGTAAATTTATCTGTTAGTGTTTTGCATTGCCTGGAAACCGCTCTTACAATGAGTCTTTGTTAGTCAAATATAAAGGGACACAATTGTTCATGGTGGCCCATGAGGGGAACCTGCAATCGTAAACATAATCGAAAATTCTTAATTCTGTGTAAATTAGCGCCGTTAGATTAGCACTACAACAGATAACTGCTGGAAGCATATACTTTTCAAAAATAATATTTAAAAAAATATTAAAAACAAGAGGAAAAGCTATAGTCGAGTGCCGCGACTAAAAGATACCCGTTACTGTTTAATACAATTTTAAAATATAAATTTTGCTAGTGGAAATTCACAAGGCGCCACCTATTGTCAGAGGAAGCATGTTGAGTAATTGATAGTGGCATCACAAACCACGTTAGGCCTTATAACCTAAATTTCTTCATAAATAGCGAAATTATATTCCGATTTCAAAAATCTTTATTAAATCGATAGATGTTATGAAAAATAAGTGTTACAAGGTCAAACGAAGGCATTCATAATAATATTGTAGACGCCACAGTTTTCCGCGGTTTGTGGGCCTTAGAGTGTGTGTGGCCGGATGAATGGCAAGTTGCAGAGGCATCTCCCTATCACGTATTTTAAAGCACAACTTTGTAGCTCTTATACTTTCCGAAAATTTTGTATATTTGGTTTTTCGGGGTTTGTGGGCGTTAGAGTGTGCTTGATCTTAAAAAACAATTCGCATTGCGAGCATCATAAAAACCTACATGCTTAATCTGAACTTTCTATCTCTTCTAGTTACCGAGATATCAGCTTTTCTAGAAAATGCGAAAACAGTCTTTTCAGGTTGGGGGGCGTCGGATAACAGTACCACTATAAGATGCGCTGGCATCTAAAGATTATGCATATTGAATTTCTACTTTCTAGCTCTAATAGTTCCTGAGGTTTCAGCGATTTTAGTTTTTCGCGATTTGTGGGCGTTAGAGTGGTCGTGGTAGGATGCTGTAATAAACTTGCGCTGGTAGCGACCTCAAGAATCTTCATGGTTAATCTCTCTCTCTTTGTATCTCTTATGGTTCCTGAGATCTCAGCGTTCATACGGACAGACGGACATGGGTCAATCGACTTCGCTATTGAATAAGAAGAATATATACTTTATAGGGTCGGAAACGCTTTCTTCTACCTGTTATATACTTTTCAACGAATCTAGTATACCCTTTTACTCTACGAGTAACGGGTATAAAAATTATAACCGAAATACAAGACACCTGCGTTTGAATTAGTTTACAATATTTTACGCCTTTTTATTTTTTAGTCCGCCTTTCATGATGCAAAAGTACCGAAATGGTTTCATCAAACATGCTTCTTTAAAAAACAACGTCCTAGGTCGGTTGAAGACATCCAGAATTTTGAAAACCTTCGTTTTATTGATCAAGAGGAATTAAGGAATGATATTGGTAAGTATGTTCAATGTATCTCTTTTTTAAGATTAATTATTTTAAAATTTATGTTGGAAATATAGAAGAAGTTGTACATAAAATGTCAGGAAATAAGCGATCTAAGTCTTCAAACTTAGCAGTGAAAGACTTTGGAATTGAGTATGCCAAATCTAGTCGATCGACCTGTCGTGGATGTGAGCAAAAAATAATGAAGGACGAAGTTCGGTTGCGTAAAACTGTATATGATACTGAAGTTGGTATGAGGTATGGTGGCCAGCCATTATGGCATCATTTGGCTTGCTTTGCCCAATTGCGTTCTGATCTTGGCTGGCTTGATTCTGGAGAAAATATGTCAGGCTTTACAAACTTATCTAATGATGACCAAATAGAAGTTCAAAAAGTCCTTCCGTAAGTATATTCCGCTTTCATTAGTTCCCTTACCTTTCGACTTATTTTTTATCAGAAGCTTTTTTGCCAAGTCATATCTTTGAAGCCTACAACCTGCATTTTCCGAATTTCAATAAATTAGGTGTAATTGAAATCTATACCATTTAAATTCTAAACAAATGTAATGGCGATGTCTTGTCTAGACATTACGGAAAACTTCATAAGCGTTTTATGCCAACTCGTATCTGTATCTGTTATGCATCCCAGTCAACTCTCATTTTTAGAAACTACTCGGCAAATAGCGATAGTATCTTTTTTGCTTTCATACCCAGCCGAAACCAATATAGTGTTAGCGCCCAGAAATAATAAAAAAACAAGAAGAAACGCTATAATCGAGTGCCACAACATATATTCATTTTGCTAGTGTAAATTCACAAAGCGCCACCTATTGTTAGAGTAAGTGACTTATGGTCAGATGATATTGAAAAATCTTTGGTAAATCGATTGATATTGACAAAAAATGTGTTATGCAAGGTCAAACGAAGACAAATATTATAATATTATAGAGTGGGCGTGACGGCATGACAACTCGAATCGAGTTGCAACGACATCTTTTAAATACCTACTCCTGAGCCTAACTTTCTAGCGCTTATAATTGCCGAGATTTGTTTGATGTTGATATAATTTGCGATGTGTAGGGACCTCAAGAATCTTCATGTTTCATGCTGATCTCAGCGTTCATACGGACGGACGGGGGTACTGACGCACGGACGGACTGACGGACGGACGGACGGACAGACGGACATGCTTAATCGACTTCGCTACTGATACTGATCAAGAATATATATACTTTATAGGATCGAAAATGCTTCCTTCTACCTGTTACATACTTTTCAACGAATCTAGTATACCCTTTTACTCTACGAGTAACGGGTATATAAACTTTGAAATTTGGTTATATATTACTTCACCGTCTGGTCAAGTTAATCTTTATTCTTTGTTTTCCAAAATGCAAATATTCTTACAATTATAGGCTTGAGGCTGGGCTGCCTACAAAATATCGGCAGTGGGCAGCAGTGGTATTTTATAATTGAATATGCTCTATGCTCTAGAGCATGCGTGAAGTTGTATATGCATGTATCGTATGTATGTACACTCATGGCTATGAGGAAGTGCTAACACCAGCACTTCCCATATGTTGGGCTGTGTGGTGTTAAATTACTGTCGGTCACTGGGGTTTAGCGACCGGGAATTTTGTGTTAATTTAAGTACACTGTAACACAATTTTGGCACTAGTACAGTGGGTACTCGCTTCACGATACGTGCATACTACACTAATGACTATTAAGAATAGGAATATAAAAACGCCCAGTTTTTAATCAAAGTTATTGCAGAACGCTTAGAACTACAGCGGAACATAGGCTGATGGTGACTTTCTTTGAAATTTATTTCCGTAAGCTACGTACGTTTTTGGGAGCAGCTTTACTCCAAGATGATGTGCGAATAGTTGATAAGTTATTGGACTAGGAAAATATTTCTTAGTCTTCAAGATGGAGACTAGAATTTGGCCAAAGGGTACAGAGATCTGTTTTGTGGAACGCTGTGTATAATCTGCGACTTCAGCTCTTCGACATTTTTCGTCCGGGTTTGTTTATCAGGCAAGGAGCATAAATAATTCCCCTAACAGAATTAAGGGTTTGGTGGAGCTCGCATGAACATCGACTATACCGGAACAAAGGTAATCTTGGTGAAATTTTTGGGCGAAACCAGGAGAAGCAGATTTGTATCTCATAGATTTGAGACCATGGTAATTGCTTTTCTTATATTCTTAAGGGCAGTAATACCACTGATAATTAAGAAGGCAACGACGCCTTCACTCGAATATAAGTTATCCCGATTACGGTCATCGATCTGGGGTCAACACCGAGTACGCGTTTTTGGCACCACTGAGTTGTCGGAGAAGTCATGCTGCCCGCCTTCTACGACGGCCCCGATATTGCTACATCAAATTCTTTTGTCTTTCATGTCAGTTTCTAAACAGAGCTCTTACTGTCTAAACAGGCTAGCAACAAATAAAGGAATCAAATATATGAAATCAACATATTCTTATAATTGGCGACCAGCGTGGAAGGAATTCAAGTAAAACGCCGGTCCATAAAGACAACCTAAGATAGATTAAGTATAGATATAGATTAGCATTATTACTTTGGACACACAACTAATATTACATTTTCCCTAAGGACAAAGTTTCCCAAGAAAACATACGGAACGAGTAGTGGACACAATAAAAATACACTGAACTGAATTGGAAAACTAAATAACAGACATAACTTAAGCAAAAGTAAATTTGTTGAGCCCGGTTATTTTTGATGACACCGATGTAAAAGAGATAAAGAATGAACACCTTACAAGTGTCAGTGTCGCAGATTTGATGGCGGTGTTTAAATAAAAAATATTCCAAACTAATAAACCTAAACCCAAAACCAAAAGACGTTTTGCACAAAAATTTAAGATTTAAGATTTAGACATTAGATTGTGATCAACAGAAACACGATAGTCGACTGCGGGGATCGAATTCGGACGAGATAGCCATAGGAACCACCTTGGAGAATTCAATATGCGCACCTGTGACCTGTGAGCAGGCGGCAGTACTGATCGACAATAAATAAATCGAAATAAAGCAACAAAATATAAGAAATCAATGATTTGTTATAATTTATATAAAAGATTGTTTTCGGTGAGATGCAAAACAACAACATCGGATGCCTACAATTTAGCTTCTAAAGGTACTTCTTGTTGTCGTTTTCGCAGATTTGTAAAAGCTCGCTATTATCTCTGAATATGCGGCAATTTTTTTTTATTATTTTCATCTCTCTTTTACTCGATCTTTCGAAAGATGCTGATTAGGTTTTGCAGGGAGGAAACCTACGCCAAAGTGCAAATTGTATGTATGATTTATCTAATCTCTATCTCTTTAAATCGCAATGTTCGGCGATCGAACGACAACCAATAGGGCATGGCAACTGATTTCCAGAGGGAATTCCTTTTGTAACTATTTATTTCATATGACTTTGCTTACATGCTAAGACAGTAAGATGAGAAGAAGAGTGGCGGCCGAATTCGCCTGAGCGAAAAAGCTTTATTAGGTCTTACATTCCTTTTTACATAACAAGGATTAGAAAGGACCAAAATCTGAGCGAACACTGTCCCCTCTGAAGGGAAGACGTCCTTCAAGACAGCATCTGCAGTCTTCACGTCCGCCACTCGGTCATTGCTGACGGTCCGAAGGAACAATGCTTTACAGACTTCACAGCTGCTTTCTATAGACCGCCAATGTGAGGTGCTCTGGGCGGTATGAACGCAAACTGCCATTCTTTTCTTGATGCGAATGCTTGTAGACCGCCCTCTGCTCCTCCAAACGGGACCGAAATTCTTTCAGGTGCTCCAACTAAACCGGAATCCCGCGCCGACTCACAAACCGTGAAAACTCAAGAAAAAAGCATCAGTCGTGAGGTCATACTTCTTGTGCATAAACTAACCATATTTTTTCTCTTACGCAAACTTCAGTTCTCGAGGCATAATACTTTCCAAAGGCTGTAAAACATTTTTACACTTTCGAATAAATTGAAAAACCCGAACGAACCCGAGAAGTTTCAGGTGCGACGAAAAAAACTCTATTCTCTGAAGCAATGGGGCTGGCAATTAGACTCTGTTATAGCAATAAGAGTTAACGCTGACGTAATTCCATAGACACAACTTCTGAAGTCTCGAAGTAGGTCAAAATGTTTTATATTACAATTAAGGCGTTACCGAATTAAAAAGACCTGCTAAAAGGTGAGCTCCACACAGATCAAGCGAGGCAAAGTTTTTGTCTTCAGAGAAACTTCTCTAGACTTGGCTGTCAGTAATAACAAATTTAAGCTTTTCTATGTTTGGTTTTCTCCCACCATGATGCACGAAAGAGAGAGCGTTATAGATGCGGATATCTATGGTAAGTTCTGAACCACTTTTCTAAATAGAGATCTGGCTCATAAAAAACCTTGCAAGCTTTATCATGAAGGCTTTCCAGGTTCTCAACGGACCCGGCGCCTGTCAATAAATCGCTAGAAAAAAAGTCGCTCTGAATGACCTGTGCAGCAGTTTGATAATTTGCTTGCGCCATCCCTCAAAGATGCCTTAAACACCGGATTGACCTGAAAGGTGCTTTAGATATCTTAGCCAGCTTCGTCGGCCATAACTTGGCGGTACATATTTTTAATACCCTCTCTAAGGGCGAACTTGTGCTCTCTGAGTCGAATCAGTATCGAATACAGCTACTCTTGAAATGTAATAATAATAATGAATGGACCGTCTGGAATTTCTTTATCTTTATCAGGATCAGGATGAACACTTAGATCTCAGGAGAGAGAGAAAGAGAGATACAAATTTGAGGTTAAGCTTGAAGATTCTTGAAGTCCCTACGCAGCGCAAATTTTTTTCAACATCTTGCCACGCCCAATTCAACGACCACAAAACTGTAGCGTCCATAATTTTATTTTTTTTTTGCATAACTTTTTTTTGTCAATATCTATCGATTTACAAAAGATTTTTTTAATCGCCAATTATTTCGCTATTTATGAAGGAACTAGCGCGCGCGCCTCGCTTCGCTCCGCTACTCAAGCTCGATATAGTCTTCTAAGGCTTAATAAATAATGCTAAATTAAGGCTTAATAAATTCGAATAAAATAATTTTCGTTTCAACATATATTGTTTCTTGTGTTTCCATCAGGTGCGTAATCAAATAAATCAGAAAATTTTCTGACGCGCGAGCAGGCCACATAGAGCTGCCCATGTGAGAAGCATAGATTCTCCAAATTCAGTCCACACTTGCAATGATTTTCCTTGTGCATTGTTGATAGTCATTGCGAAGGCAAGTCTTACCGGGAACTGCAAAAGTTTGAATTCGAATGGCATATCCGTCCATTGGGATACGTACGTCAAAGTACGAGTTGAATTTTCCAATCAAAAAATGTTTTGAATCA